GTTAACAGGTGACAGTTAACTGGGTAGCTGCTAAATGCTCCATGTCTACCCTTCCAGGTCTAAAAGGTCTAGCTTTTGTCTTACAAAGCATCATGGAGGGGCGCCTGGGTGGCTCAGCGATTACACTTCTGACTTCGGCTCAGGTCATGATCCCGTGGCTTGTGGGTATGAGCCCAGCGTCAGGCTCTGTGCGGACAGCTCAGAGCCTGCTTCAGATGCGGTCTCCCTCGCTCTGCGCCTCCCCTGCTCATGCACACTCCCCAAAATAAACAACAAAAAAAAGGCATCACGATATTTAACATTCCCGTTTCCAGTGCATTACTACTTGCAGAACATTCCCTGTCCCTTTCTTTCCAAAAAAGCCCAGACTTCCTGGTGTGGCCCAGACCAGAAGGGCCCGTAGGACCGCGAGGATGGGACTGGGTCTGAGATGGTGGCAACTCCATACTTTACAGTTGACTGGACAGCTTCACCCACTAGGCAACCTCAGGCCGTGGCGGTTTTGAGAACTACGCGGGACCCTGGAGGAAATTCCTTGAAGGGTAGGTTACAGGGCAACCGTTGTGACAAGGGACTTTTCTTGCTCAGGGGGCCTCCCTCCCCTGGGCCTGCCTCCGCAGCAGACACACACTGCCAAGACACCACATTTCTTTAAAAATAATTTATTGGTTTGGGATCACAAAGTACAGGGAAAGCCAGAGGGCAGTGCCTGTGACCCCCGGCTGTCCTTCCCTGTGTGTGCACCTGCAAATACCTTTGTGGACACCAAGCTTGGCCCTCAGCACCCTCACCCTAACAGCTGCAGCGTTAGCACCTGACCGCGTGGGAAGTTGGACACACCCTGTGCACAACGCGGGGTCCCCCTCCGATCACTTTGCAGGTATCTTTTTTTTTGCGAATGGTGAAACTGCCCTAGTTGTTCCAACTGTCAACTTCTTAAAACTTCATGAATGAGGACGTCACGGGCAATCTATGCCTCAAAGCTCTTAGAGCCGTTTGAACATTTTAGGAGGCCTTCCTGAGCAGCAGTGACTAAAGCCCTGTGGTCCCAGTATTCTAAGGCCCAGGCTGCCTGTGGCACCTAAACAGGGGCCCCCGGAGTCCCCCACATCCTAGGGCGGCGATGGAGGAAGCGCAGGCCAGGCCAAGCATGAGGAATAAACAGTCAATTTTATTGGGCTCAGACCAGGAGTCCGTGGGTCTTGAGGACCTCTGTGTATTTGTTGATTTTCCCTTCCACGTTCTTTTCGGCCTGTTTCCGTAGCCTCTGTGGGGTGAGGAGGACAGATGCCGGTCGGTGGCTGCCGCCTGGGACACTCCTCCTCCCAGGACCCCACCCGATCCCACTCCCCGCCCCCCCCAGTTGGGCCTCAGAAAGGCCTCCGGGGCTGAACCACCGCATCCAGACACGCCCCTGCCCCCAAAGGCCCTGCCCGAGCCTGGTGCCCTCACCACAAGCTGCTTCTTCTTCCGGTAATGGATCTTGGCCTTCTCCTTCCGCTTCTCCTCCAGGGTGGCCGTTACTGCCTGGTACTTCCAGCCAACCTCGTGAGCCAGGCGCCCCAGGTAAGCAAACTGTGGGGGAAGGGGGAGAAGTGAAGTGGAGCCAGGGTGGCTAGGGGACAGGTGACAAGCTGTCACAGCAGACCCTGCTTTTGTCAGCAGGCATGAGCCAAGACACAGCCGCCCCCGTAAGGGCTCCCCGCCCCCTCCTCCTGGCATCAGCTGAGCCATTGGCGTTGTCGGCACTGCCAGCAGTGGCATCCGCAGACCATCGTGAGAAAGAGACATCATCTGCCAGCCTTCGGGACCTCAAGTCCACCCTCTTCCCCTCCCCGCCGCGAGACCACTCCATGTAACCGACAGCTCACCTTCCGTGTAGGCTTCAGCCGCACAACTTTGAGGGCGGCGGGAACCACCATCCGCTTTTTCTGTTAGAGAAGGAGAGGGGCTTAAGAAACCTGGAGTGAGGGACAGACAGGGGACAAGGCTGGCTGGAAGAGCGTCTCAGTCAGTGCTGTTCTCACGAGGATCAAACAATGTAGGTACAACTGTGCAACATCACGGACGCCGCGCACACGAATGCGGCACGGGAACGTCACGCTCACCTTGTCGTAGGGGGGCGGGATCCCATCAAACACCTTGAGGCGGTCCAGGGCGGCCTGGCCTCGCTTGGTCTTGTGGGGCAGCATGCCTGTGGGCAGAGGGGCGGCAGGCTCGCTCACCGGGGCTCACGAGGACCCCCGCCCCGCCGGCGCACAGGCGGCCTCAGATGGTAGTGCATGTGGAGTCATCTCATGGTTGGGGAACTCGAACACGAGTGGGAGAAGTCCTCATCACTGGCCACCCGGCCGTCCCCGCCTGCGGTCCTCGGGCCCAGCTCACCTCGCACCGTCCGCCAGAAGATGCGGCTGGGCGCGCGGAAGTGGTAGGGGCCTCGGGATGGGTTGGTGTTCATCCGCTTGCGGAGGAAGGCCAAGTACTTCACTGCGGGGAGAGAGCAGCGTGAAGGCTCAGCCCCAGACACACGCACATCCACACTCCCAGGGGCCTTTTAGGAACTCACACGGGCACTTCCCACCACCTGCGGGCTCACTTTTGGAGCCAAGGAAGCCTGAGGCTCTCCCAGGTCCATCCTCTCTAGCCCTCCTCCCACGTCCGAACTTACACTTGTTTCTGTAGAAATTGCCAGAAATGTTGATGCCCTCGCAGCGCACGACGACGACCTTCCGGCCTAGAGAAAAAGGAAAACGAGGTGACGGAGGAGAACAAAAGCTAGGTAGCCAGCCGAGGGCTTTACCTACAAACTGGCCACCACACACCTGCCCGGTTACGCCGAGGACCCGGAAACAGGGATCCTCCCCTGTATGGAACTGACCGTAAGGCACAAGAAACCCAAGACCCTGGCAGGGGATCCCCTTGCCCCACCCAAGTCACAGAGCTAGACTTGTGCTTAAATTAACAGCCAAACAGGAAAAGAACCTTCCATGTTGGAGCCCCCGACCCCGGGACAGGGAGGGGCTGGCAGGTCTCAGAGCGGTGCATGGGGTTGATCTCATGGTCGTGAGACTCAAACGAAAGATGGTGATTGTTGCTCATCACGGACCTCTGGTTGGGACTCGGTCGGGGGGGTGGGGGGGGCAGAGCAGACTTACCCAGCAGCACCTGTTTGGCCACAATGGCCGCCAGGCGGCCCAGGAGATGGCCTCTGCCATCAAGCACCAGGACCTGGTGGAGATGGGGGGAGAGCTCAGACACACCCACGGCACTGACTACCCACCCCCCAAAGCAACCATTGCTTTCTACTTGATTCTTTCACCTTCTCCCCCAGAGCAATTCCTATCCATTAGCACGCCTGGAAACTAGGACCCAAGGCCCATTTTACAGATGTGGCCAAGCAAGCAAATGGGGGACTCGAGACTTCAGTAAATGGAATAACACAAAGACCTTGCCTCACATCTCACAGCTGCCTGAAGGGCAGGAATTTTTTAAGCCCAGATTACATTCAAGGCTGAGAGAACGTGCTGGGATTTGAACAAAGACTGGCAACACTCTGTCCACGGACCCAGTTAGAATTTATCATCGGTGACACCAGCTGCGGGAATGCTGACGGATTCACTCTCTCCTGATCTCAAGGGCAAAATCGTTTCCAGCACAAACTGAATAGTAAAGGAAACGGGCCCAGTGTGGGTGAGGCTCTGCGGTGTAGACAAAAGCCTGTGCTGGGTTTTACATGGACTAACTGTGTCCCTGGGTGAACTGCTCAACACCGAATCCTCAGCTTCTTCACCACGAGCAAAGTCCCCACTCTTACCGAGTGCTTGTTATATACTTGTGATTGTTGGAAGGCAGAAGGGTACAGAATCTAAAGCCAGACTTCCTGACAATGTGACTTTGGCTAAAAATCTCCAGCCTCCTCACCTGGAAGATGAGGATAACAGTATCTGCCTCAGGAACGTTATGGGAAGGTCAGGGAATTACACAAAATATAACACAAGCCGTGCCAGGAACACGTGTTCAGAGAACTTCTCTACCACTTTCCCCAGGGCACACACTTGCTTTTTCCTTCCTCAACCACTCAGACTCCTTACATGAAATTCACACGGGGACCATTTCCCCGAGCCATCCCCTCCTTTACAGAAAAGAAATGACAGGAGTGCGGGCACTCAGACCTAAGCTTCTGCTGTGTCCCTCGAGGTCCCCAACCTCCCCCCCACCCCCTCCACCTCCCGTTTAAGAACAGTGTAGGTCCCGGGGTTGTGGAGCCTTTTTATTACAGGTCCCTCCTTTCAGATCTTTAAAATCAACCCCAACGAGCAAGAGAAAAAGAGGAATTCGTTCCTGCACGCCCTGTAGGCGAGAACGCTCTGGACCCACTGCCTAAGTTTCCTACAAAAACGCTCAAAGCTGCAGAACACGGATTAGCAGTCCCACGAGGTTGAAGCAACGCGCGACTGGGGCATGTTGGTCAGTCCTCGGCGTCTCACCGCCGCGAGGCCGCCCAGGCGCTTTCTGCGTGCTTCCCCGCCGCTGGGGACACACGGGTCTCATTCGGCCAAAGGACAAAGGCAAACGAGACCTAATTTGAGACTAACTCTTCCCGTGCTGGGAGCCCCCATAATCACCCCTAAGGGAGGAACGATGCCGCATTTTAGCCAGTCACCGACCAAAAAAACCCCCCGTGTATCTCCTATTTCCCCCGTTGCAGACTCTTCTTAGACCAAAAGCTGCCCCGTTTCGCTCAATTAACCTAGATTAGATCTCACAATACACCTACGAGGGGAAAGAGGGTATAACTCGGCCCGGGCCTGGATCCCACCCGGCCCCACGCCTCCCCTGCCCGCGCGGAGCCCGCACCTGAGCCTCCGCCATCTTCGGCAGCCGCCTAGGAAAGGAGGAAGGCTCTGCGCAGGGTTTCTTATCCCTTGAAACAGGGGCGGAGGAAGTGACGCCGCATGGGCTGTGCGGGCAGCTTTCCGTCTTTGCATTGGTTGAAGCCTCTAGCGCGTGCGCAGAGAGGCCCCGCTAGAAGGCGGGTCGTCTCCCGACTGTCCAATCCGGGTCCAATTCTTCTCGCCGGCTCTTAGATAGCCATTGCTGTGAGGGGCGAGAGATCACGTGGGGGTAGGACGGCTCAGCTGGGGCGGGGCTGGCCAGCCTCGGCCGCCATATTTTTGAGGGGCTGCTAATCTCCCTCTAGGGCGGGGGCTCGCCCGCTAAAGCGAGCGCAGGCTGCAGGGCACGTGGTGGCCCGCAGAGGGCAACGAGGCTTTCTGTTCAGGGCCCAGTCTAGACTGGGTAGGTCTGGGTCCAGTGCCTGGTGTGCCTCCTTATGACCTGGCCAAACCCCTCGCCTGTCTAGACCTCAACGTCCTCATCTGTAAAACAGGTGGAAGTCGTTTTCCCTATGCGATCTGAGAGTGTGTGAGGGAATGACTCCAGATGGCTTCTGCTGCGTCCCTTACCTGCGATGTCCTCCTCTCCAGCCCCACCTTCTAATATCTGGCATGTCACAATCCCAGTGTTTTTTGGCTGGGGTCCTTTCCTCCAGAGAGCTTCCCCGGTGTCTGGGGCTGGGCCGGGTACCTCTTCTGGGCTCCCACAGTGCCTGTTCTGCCATCAGAACGTGTCACGCTGTACTGACCCCAGAGGGGTCCCGTGTCTTCTCCCCCATAGATCAGGAGCCCTGAGGGGGCTGGGTGGGTTCTGACTCGCATCTGGGTCCCCGCAGTGCCATGCACTGGCTCTGGGCCCCAGGAGGCGTCAGAAAACGGCCACTGAATGAAGCATTGCGTTAACCGAAAAACCAAGACTCGCACGCAAACTGCCCCGTCCACACCATGCCCCACCTACAGACAGTCCTGGCCAGAGCTGGTAGAAAAGGATGATTTATATACAATTTCCTGGGGACAAGGACTTTGTACAGAGGGGGATAGGTGGGTCTGGGTCTGGCGTTGGGGGCTGGCGTTGCCTCCATCCTGGGGGGAGAGTGAGCGGGGCAGCGTGGTCGAGGAAGGAACCAGTCTCTAGCTGACTTTCTCCGAGTCCCGGCTCTGTGTCCTCGGGCAGGTGATTCCTCTCTCTGGGCCTCAGTGTCTTCCTCTGTAAATGGGATGATACATGTGTCTGTCTCACGGGGCTGCTTGCGGGGGTCCGTGGAGGGAGGAGAGGAGAGGATCAAGTGCAGGGCTACTGAAAACAATTCCATTTGCAGTGACAAGAGGGTTCTCTCAGACAGCGATGGGAGCAGCGGGATCTGAGCTCTCCCATCACAGCCACAAGGCAGCCCCACGTGAAGGTGAGCATTCCAAGGCAACTAAGGAGCTGATTGTTACATTTTACCTAATTTAAACTTAGGCAATGGTGTATTTCTTAGGAGAGCAGGAAGCAGAGTGGATAGGAGCAAGGATGGGAGGAAAACTCAATGGATGGCCTTAAAAAAAAAAATTAGAAGGAGCTGGACCAGCTCAGTTGTGGTTAAGGTTCAACTTGGCTCAAGCTTCACTTTTTATTTTATTTTTTGAGAGAGACAGAGACAGAGCAGGGGAGGAACAGAGAGAGAGGGAGACCCAGAATCCCAAGCAGGCTCCAGGCTCCACAACCCCCACACCTGTCACCACATCCCCACCCCCCCCCCCCCCCCATGCAGGGCTCAAACCCACAAACCGTGAAGTCATGACCTGAGCCGGTCAGACGCTTAACCGACTGAGCCCCCCAGGCGCCCCTACAGATGAAGCATTTCTAATAAAAATTTAGTGTCGCATGCACACTGGATTCTAAAGACTTGGTATGAAAGAATGAGTAAACTATCTTGGGGCACCTGGGTGGCTCAGTGGGTTGAGTGTCCGACTTCAGCTCAGGTCATAATCCCGAAGTTCGGGAGTTCAAGCCCCACATCGGGCTCTGTGCTGACAGCTCGGAGCCTGGAGCCTGCTTCAGATTCTGTGTCTCCTCCCCTCTCTGCCCCTACCCCACTCATGCTGTCTCTCTCTCTCAAAAATAAACATTTAAAAAAATGAGTAAACTACCTCAATAATTTTTAAAAATATTGATTACATGTTGAAATGACAACATCTTGGATACACAGGGTGAGATAAAATATATTAAAGTTACCTGTTTCTTTTTACTTAAAAACATGTGGCTACAGGATGCCTGGGTGTTAAGTGTCTGACTTTTGATTTTAGCTCAGATCATGATCTCACAGTTTGTGAGATCGAGCCCTGCATGGGGCTCCGCGCTGACAGTGTGGAGCCTGCTTGGGATTCTCTCTCTCTCCCTTTCTCTCTGCCCCTCCTCTCTCCTCTCAAAATGAATGAACGCTAAAAAAAATTAAATTTAATTAAAAAAAATGTGGCTACTAGAAAGTTTTTTTTTTTTTTTCTAAGTAATCTACATGCCCAATGTGGGGCTCGAACTCACAACCCTGAGATCAAGAGTTACATGCTCTACTGACTGAGAGAGCCAGGTGCCCCAACTATTAGAAAGTTTTAAATGACATGTGTGGCTTGTGTTCTATTTCTGTTGGACAGCCTTGCTCTGAGGGCTTTGTGTGTGCCACTTAACTTCCAGACAACTCTATGGTAGAAAGAATATTATTAGAGTCTTTTGTACAGATAAGGAAACTGAGGCAGAAGAGGGAAAGGCTTAGATGCCCAGAAAGCCCAGAGTCAAGTCTTGGCTCTGTCACTCATGTGCTGTGTGACTTTTGGCAAATTATTTGCTTCTCTGTGCCTTGGTTTCAGCCTCTCTGAAACAAAATAAAAATGACACTAGCTTCTCAATTAAGTAGGTTAATTCGTAGAAAGCCCCAGCATAAGGGCCGTAACTCTAAGGCATTACATGTGTGAACAATTACTGCAAACTGCTTCTTCTCAGAGTCCTCTGGGCCCATCAGGAACCCACTAAGGCTTTCTGTCCTTTCTCCCTCCTGGCCCACCTGCCTCCTGCCCTCACACCTGTTCTCACCTTCTTTTTTCCATCACTCACCTCCCCTGCTTCCCTGCTACCCTGGACAGGAAGTCCCAGCTCCCTTGCTTGGTGTTTGAGGCCTAGATTTTCACACCCACACTCCGCTCACAGCTTTTTCACACCTGGAAGTCTTTGCAAAGATGGTCCCCTCCTCCTGCTTCAGGAGGCTACTCTCTCCTGGCTTGCAGACTCCTGTAGCCAAATGTCTCCCCTGGGGCCCCCTCATGCACCCA